GGTTGACAGAGGGTTTAGGGTTTAGGGTATAGAGTTAAGGGTTTAGGGTTTAGGAATTTTTTAAGTTGAAGGGGGGGTTGCAGAACTTGGGGTTCTGGCCTCGGAGTTTTCGGAGTCTGAGGGCGTAGGCTTCGATGTTCGTGAAGGGCAAAGCCTGTTGGCAGGTGTTGCACCGGTACTCTGAGTTCATGGAGGTGCCCTTCCTGCAAACGACCGCACACCCTGCACGCGGTTCAAAGGGGAAGTTAAGACAGGTGTCGAGGGGTGGCCTTGCTTCTCATTCAGAGTGGTGCCCTGCTCTTGCACAGCATGCCACTTTGGTATGTTGCATGTTCGATGATGATAGCAATCACCAGGATGGCAGTTCGAAAAGTCGATATATCTGCCCAGTTACGGCTGAGATTTACTGTATCTGTTATGGCCGTGGTCTCACTCACAGCAGGCCATGGGTTTCAAAGGCTTGCTTAGAGGATCAGGCCACGACCCATGACGCCTGGGTTGAATCTTAACCCCGCATCAGCTCGGATTTTGGTCCGGTCCAGCAAAGCTTCATGTGAACGGCCGCGGGGAGTATAGGCATGACCTGAGTGTGCCTCCTCCGCTAGACCCCAAAGCTGTCTTCCAAACTGAGGCTTTGAACCCTCGCATCCCCAACAGTCCGAGAATCTCCACAAAACACACTTCTTCAGGAAGGAAAATGAAATAAGATTGATAGATGGACAGATGCATAGAGGGATAGAATGCTACATGGATGGATGGAATATGGGTGGGTGGATGGATGATTTGATAGATGGACATACAAACACACACACACACATATATATATATGCACACACACATAATTACACATATACACACATGCATATATATATATATGTATATACACACACACACACGCATACATAGAGACAGATAGATAGCCGACAAGCCAGGTGGATATCGACCAAGATATAGGCATCGATATCTCATGTCTAAACGCACATACATACATGCATTTATACCTACATACACACACACACATGTGCATCTACACCAATCTGTTACATATACTCTAACATGTTACATATAACCCCTCTATACTCAAACCGAGGAATTCACTCATGGCAGCCCGCTGGCCCTGACCTCGCTCCTGGGCGTCAGCTCGGCCGTGGTGGACAACGTCCCCCTGGTGCAGGCTCCCGGCTTCGCCCCTCAAAGTTTGGTTCTTCGTAGCTCTTTAGGCTTATCCATGAACTCACGAATGCAGTAGAAAGAGCAGTCAGTGTTGTTGTTGTTGTTGTTGTTGGTGGTGGTGGCGGTGGTGGTGGCGGCGGCGGTAGCGGGCATCGATCAACCACATCGGCTGTAGCATTGCATTTGGAAGTGCCTCCTAGGCGGCTCCCGCTGTGCGATCAGCCCGGTTCATTGCCATTTTGCTGCTAGCATGCTGGAAGAGCAAGATGCCAGTTCCTACTGCCAGGGTCAGCATGCCATTCCTCCAGGCAAGCATACAGATGTTCAAAGAGCCCATGGACGATCCCCTCTGGCAGCTCGTGGCCTTGGCAGCGGGCACAGGTGGATCTATGTGCTTTGGCCGAAAACGACGGAGGGCTTGGGAGCAAGGCTTCAGGATGTGGTTGAACCTGTGCTATAGTAGTTTATCTGTCCCAGATCGACATCCCGAACCGCAAATCCGAAGCCATGAAGCCTCAATCCTAAACCAGAGGTAAGCTCTTGTCGGCTGAGGTTGGCCGTGGGATCCGTGGCAGGCCAAACCCATGTGTGCGGGGTCGAACAAGTCTTGTTGGGCGCCTGCCGTACTCTTTGTGTGTCCCTAGCCAAGGATTCTTTGCAAGTTCTGCAAGAAAACTAAAAATTCATGTGTGTATTATATATATATAGACATATTCACACATATATACATGTACACATGCATA